CCGATGTGTTATATTGTGTCCTAAAAAGAGATTTGAAAAACAGCCTTACAATAATTTAAGAGGTCCACATGGTTTCAAGCAAGAAGTTGTGAAAGCCGAGCTTTAAAGATCACTGTTTCTAGCTATCCAAGATAATCCAAGGCCCTAATCCAGTGCCCAACTTCCAAAGAATGGTCTATTTCTTTTCCATGGTCACTTCAGACCAATCTGCAGCTTGAGTAAGACGCATTTGTGTTTGTTTGTAGTGCATTGATCCAATTATAATCACAAGAGTTTCTTAAAGAAAATACATTAGCCAGTGATACAAGTTACTTTTTCTTAAAATTTTTTTCTAAGTAAAAATAGATATTTTTCATTAAAATAAAAAAAAAATTGCTGTTGAAAAAAAGTTGAAAAATTGTAATAAATAAAATATAAATAAATAAAATAAAATTATAAATTTTATTTATTGGCTAATTGTTATATTTTTAAATGCAAATAATTTTACAATTTAATTAATATTTAAAAAAGTTTTGATATTTCAATTTGACATATGACAGCATTATCTTCTTTGGACATTTTATACATAATCATAAATTTTGATTAGTTTTGTTTCAAAAATGTAAACCCTATGTAAATAATTATTTAAATAGTTACAACTAGTTGCTGGAACTGCTACAAAATGTCGCCCACCAAATGTATTATCTGTTTATAGTAAACTAATAATAAATATGTGATGTTTCTCCCTAAACCAATTGCAGTATTATTTCGTTTAAAAATATTCTTACCCTTTTAATATTTTTTTGAGAAAGAAAAGCCTTTCTTTCCATCCAGCAGGAAGATTCTTGTAAACGGCGTCCAATTTAAATAGTAAATAGTTTTGTAGTCTATATATATATATATATATATATATATATTATATATATATATATATATATATATATATATATATATATATATATTATATGTTATGGATCAGAAATAGAATAAAGAGTTTTTTATTATTTTAATATACCGCGGGCATATAAGTTAAAATACAACCCTGTACTTATTTGTAATAGTTAGAATAAGAGAAAAATTGTTCCGTGACGGGACCCTAACGAGTTTTTCCGTGAAAGACTGAGTGAATAGTGAAAGGACAATGGAACCCGTATAATTATAGATTTAGGAATAAACTTGTAATTGTATTTTGCGGTGGGCATTTTTCGAAAGTAAATAAGAATTAGATTTAGATAAGAGATAACAAGAATTTGGAAACTTATTTCTGTTAAAAAAGGCAAAATTGTTAATGGTTTCTGAAAAGTAATTTGAGTGAAAGTAATTTATTTGTTTTAAATATCATGTTGGAAATTTTCTAAATCGAAAATAAGTGGGAAAGATGAATGCTTATGATTGGTTAAAAAAGAATGGTGGGAATGAGAGAGTTGAGAAGGTTGTCTGGGAGAGATTGAAAGATTATTATGTTACCGGCAGACCAGAAGAGAAGACGTGTTTTCGTGTAGTCAATCTGAGTACCAGTGTTTTCGTTTGTTAGTGAAAAAGGTGGAAGCTGAGAGCAGATCAAAATCGAGAAGATTAATACCTCTTTTGAGTCTGCATAGTCCACGAGATATAATTGAGAAAGAAAGGAGAATTTGTGAATAAAGAGTACCGGTCAAAAGAGGCTTGGGCTTGTGTTTTCGGAGGAGTAGTTTGCTGGTATGCGGTTTGGATCGATGCTGAGAACGGGAAAGATTTGATGGTAGCCGGACATAATCAATCAAGGAAGGAACTGTGGTTTGATCGAGAGGAGACATCATTGGTGTAAAAATAAAGGTCAGTCAAATAATTTGAATGAAAGAAAATTTTAAGATATTCTAAAGATAAAATCAAATATAAGCATACGAACTAAGATTCCAAGTTTCAAAGAGTTATTTTTTTTTGTGAATAAATTATATTTTTATATGGTCATTTTTTTAGTAGATATTATTATAAAACAGATCAATAGATAGTTTGTAATTAAAATTAAATTTAGAGTATAGGAGTTTGTTGGGAAAGATAATTGCCCACAAAAGTTATTTATTAATATTCATCGTATTGCTTATTGAAAATAAATAATAATTTGTGTGCATATTTATGTTGTTTTAATGTTAGTTCCGTTTCCTGTTCTATCCCGATTATGAGCAACTAGGAGATACTGAACTGAAACTGATTAGCAATGTATTTTGGGAAAGACCAGATGGTAAAAAGATCGGACAGGAAGGCTAGAAAAAGGTGGAAAGACGCTGTCAGGGAAAGACCTAGAGAAGATGGAAGTAAGGCCATGGGAAATAATAGCACAGGATCGGAATCAATGGAAGGCAATAGTAAACGCGGCAAAAACTCACGAAGAGTTGTAAAAGCCAATGATGATGATGATGAGGAGATACTGAAACCCACTAGAAGAGATATATAAAGTAAACTGATTAAAGTAATAATTAACAAAAAAAAAGGCACCCTGAGAATTTTTAATAGTAATTGAATTGTATGACTCTCTGCATAAATTAGTGAATTAATTAATTAAATAATTGGATCAATTAAATTAGTGTTAATTAATAATAAAACATCATAAAGCAGATCACAACAATATATATATATTATATATATATATATATATATATATGTGTGTGGTGTGTGTGTGCGTGTGTATGTATAGTGTATATGTAGAGTCCTTCTTGTGTTGTGTTGTCCAGGAAATCTATTCAAGTACTTTTTGATTTTTTTCCTGTGTAGTTGCCCCTTTCCAGTCCCTGTTTTATTCACTTACTTACGACCCAGCTCTCCAACCAAACCAAGAGTAGCCGTTCGGAAACGTTCGGCTCCAGCCCATAATTCAGTCCAATTTCAGTCCACTATAAGTGATACTCAATGTGGTAGGCAAATATAACCGTTACAGTAGTACTAAAATTCCTATTATTACTGGTACTAATGATAAAACAATTGCTTATCCTTTAGATTCTTCTTCTTCTTCTTCTAATGTCTTCACTTCCCTTTCGATCCCTCAGCGTATTTCCTGTAACTCTTTTGAACACAAAGGCTACTAGAAACTGCCGTTTCTAGTAGCCTTTGTGTTTTGGCTGTGTCGGGTCTTATTTTTGAGGCACATGTCATTATTGGTCTTACACTGGCTTTATAAATTCTTGACTTCATGTCAGTGGTAATGTGTCTGTTTCGCTATATAGTATTATTAAGGCATCCTGCCAGTCTATTTAGATATAAGGAAAACGGGACATCGGAAGAAAGAAATACTCATGGCAAAAAAATCAAACGATTTCTATCTGGCAAAGTCGAATTCAATGGCTTTAAAACATAAGGGATTGGACAAACCTCGATGCCCATGTATTCTTTGGAGCCACACAAGATCGAGAGGAGTATGCCAGAATTGTCGCCAACATCCACTAATTGGATAGGGCATCATAAGAAGAAGCCAGTCTATTTGCTGTTTGTACTTGATCTCTCACTTCTTTGTCCAGGTCTCTGGACATAGCTGGACAGTGTAATTCCAGGGTATTTTATTTCGTTACTTGTTCAATATGATGCCATCAATTTCTCTTTTACATCTGGTGGATTCTTTGCTGATTACTATTGGTTTAGTTTTCTGAGATGAGGTTGTCATATTAAATTTTTTTGTTCTTATGTTACATTGTGGACCAGTCTTTACAGACTATCTCATCTTGGGCTATCAATCTGGTATCGTCTGCGTTACAGGGTATTTTTATTTCTTTGTTTCTTATTCCCTATCCTGTTCCTTTGTTAAAGTTTTGATGATTTCATCCATGATTCAATTGAAGAGCATAGGGCTCAGTGAGTCCCCTTGTCTTATTCCGCTGCCTATTTCTTTAGGTTCTGTAAGTTGTCCATCTATTCTAACTTCCATTTTGTAGTTTTGGTAGAGGTTTTCGATAGTTTTTATAATATTTAGGGGAACTTTTCTATTATACAGAAGATACATTACATCTTTGAGTCTTATTGTCAAACGCTTTTTTTAAGTTAATCAAACACATAAATGCTGGTCTATTATACTCTAGTGATTTCTTAGTAATTTGCTTTATAACGAATATTACATCTGTACTCGATCTTCCACTACCAAAACCCTGTTATTCATCTGCTAAACTTTATCGTCTAAATTATAAGTACTTGTAAAATTTTAGTTGTAAGTTTTAGGGTAGCATTTTAACAAGTTTATACCCCTGTAGTTTTCTGACTGTTTTTTATCTTCTTTTTAGAATAGTAGAATTAGTTCGCTCGTTCTTCATTCTTCCGGTATTTTATTAATTAATGTTGTTAACTGTTCTGTCATTGCTGATCCACAATATTTCAGTAATTCGTTTGGTATCCCGTCTTTACCTGCTGCTTTTCTGTTCTTCAGCTTTTCAAGTATTTTACGAACTTCGTGTACATTTATATTAAGTTTTTCAATTGTGATAATTTCTGGTGTTTCCGGTCCTAGCATTGTCTGTTCTTCCTCTGCATAGAGACTTTTTAGTTAGTCAATCCACGTATCATTTTCTATGTGTTTTGGTTCTATTAGTTTCTTTACCTTTGTTCTTTGATCTCTTATAAAGCGAAATAATTACATTTGCAGACTGTATTTCATTTCTTTTGAAAAGCGTTCCCATTTATTATTTTTATTTTTCTTACAAGTGCATGTGTTTCGTTTCTTATTGCCTTTGTAATTTGTTCTTTAGATGAAAAATTGAAATTACTTACGGCATTGAAGTAGGTTAATGTTAGGGATGTTGAAGATGAGGTTAACGGTAAATAGTTGTGAGTAAAGTTGATAATTATTTGGTGACTGCTGTATTAGTTTCTAGATTGCTATCCATTTTTAATTTTTATTTTTTTCATTTGTCAGTTTTCGATCGAAAGCCGCTACTGATTTTTGGCAATTAGATTGGCTTATTGGCTTCTTAAAAAATCAAAAATAGATGTTTTTAATGTTATGATTTTAGTGCAATATATTTCAAATGATTTCATTTGGATTGAATAAAAACAGTACTTACAATTTTTCTTCTCTCTAGTTAGAAACACACTTCAATTTCAGTTTTAGTATTTGGCACCTCTGTTTTTAATATTTTGCATAGACCAACAAAAAACACTTGTTATTCGGAGCTGAAATTATTGAAACTTGCTCTTTTTAAATTTCAAGAAGCCTATGAGCAATATCTCGAACTTAAATATGGGAAGCACTTTCAGCTAAGAATATTAGTGTAATCATCATTTCAGTTTAAAAAAACTTTACACGAAAAATCATATTGCACATAAAGAAGAAAACTCATTTTCAAATGAATTTGAAATTGCATTTATTTAGACTAATCTTAAAAACAGGAAAAGGAAATGCATTAATGTGAATATCGTGTTTAACACATTACAATTACGATAACAAAAATTAAACAGACAAGAGAAAATTTAAAATACAGATAAAGAATAACAATTATTATGAAGTTTAAAAATTATGAAAAATAAAGGACAATTACTTTAAATATTTGGAAATAATACTCCATCAACCGATTATGATAGAGGAATAAATTAAATAGCACATGAAAATATTCATTATGCATTATGCTGTTTGTGCTAAAAATTAAAATTACTGGAAACGCAAAGTTTAGTAAAGAACAACAGTAGTAACCTATTATAGGTAAATATAGTATTCACGATATTTCAAATTAGCTTTAAGGAAAAACTTAGCTAATTTTGTTTAATATCTCTTAATAATATGCATATATACCGAAATACACTTGTAGTTTATATGCCATGATGGTAGAAGCCTTAGAAACAAGTTACAACTTTGGAGATATATGACAAAAAACTTATTTTACATACCATAATTGTGATAATCATTCTTATCTTGATATTTAGTTAAAGTTATTGTTTCGAAAAAAATATATATGTCATACCGATTAGTATCAAGTGTTCATTTTCTGATTAGTGGCATACGAGGTACTTTTCCACATCACATTGATTATCTAAAAAATTATAAAAGGAATTTCAAGTTAAATAATTTTAATAGTGAGCTGTCATCACTTTGATAGACAAAATTAATTGTGTACTTCCATAAAAACTGTTTTGATTAAATTCTTATCTGGACCTCATTTTTAATGCTAATTATATTAACAATACATCCCATTATAATACCGGGTTTTTTAAAGTTTATTTGAAAAAAAGAACATCCCTTTCAGTTTCTGATAAGAGTGCACAATTTGGACGTGCACGTACTCATCACTTTATAGCTCCCCATAAAATTATTAGATCTCCTAAATTTAGCAAACTGATTACCAGCAATCCTTTGGAGACCCGTAAACTAATCACTGCAGACAGGCAAACTCCAGAGAGGTATCCAGACCTCCTGGTTACCTGACCAGACCTCCTACAGTGAGCATTGTTTCATGGTGATGGGCGAAGGGTTTGCTCCGAACATTGTATAAAATTTTGTATAAGATGGACGAGTTAGGAAGGAAAACGCTGGGCTCTTCGCTCCGACGTGTCTGGGGTCAGATCTTACCCAAAAGCTGCTAGAATGGGCTGCTGAAGGTAAGGAAGTTAAAGCCGCCGTGTATGGACCAAAGAAGAGCTGGGCGAGCACGGTCAAGCCCAGAGAGACCAAGGGAGTTGTAGTGTTAACCAAGGTGAAGGACAAGTCCTTCGATGAACTACTTGGCGAGTTGCACACAGATCTATGCTGCAGGAGTGACCGTCGTCGTTAACAGGAGAAGATAGAGATATGGCGTAGACGGTAAAGGGTATTGTCCCTGCTAGACAGGGCACCGTCAGAAGAGCAGTATCGAAAGGTGGCACAGTCCGGTGGAAGCTTTTTGTAAATAGAGCGGACGGCCTGACCAAAGATAGCGATATTATCAAATCAATTAAGAATTTTGCTGCACGGAAGAAAACTTGTCAGGTCAGAGGACCTCTCCGAAAGGCATACGGTGGAGACATTAACGCCACAGATCAGGGTCGATGAAGACATTGCAATGCGCCTTATATGAATAAGATCTCTTAGGGTGGGATTTATATCCTGCACAATTAAGAAAAAAGTCCACATTGCCAGGTGCTACAAGCGCCTAGAGGTACGGACACCGTAGGTCCGAATGCAAAAACGAAGCACTAAAGGGATGCATCCGGTATAGAGCATAGGGACACACTGTGAACGAATGCCCAGAAGAAGGAGAACAAATGTATCAATTGCAAAGTCACGGGACATCGGGGCAACTCGATGGAATTCCCGAAATTTCGTTAACTGATCAACACGGCCAGGGAAGAAAAGGTAAAGAGAATGCAGTCCTAGACTGGAGCAGTCGAATGTGCTGTGTTAGTGGATGCGAGAGTGAATGCGACTGTGCGCATATGTATGTGATAATTATTGTCCTGTGTATCCAATGGCTACCAGAAAGCAGAGACCATATTTGGACGATACTCCAGACTAACGTGGGCACGGCGAGATTAGCACATAGTCTCGCCGTGGTTTTAGCTTTGGATGGCAATTTCGACATACTAGTCGCGGCAGAAATGAACCTTGCGCTGGTCAGGAACCGAGGATGGATCGCAGATGCATTAGGTAGGGTCGGCATACAATTCTGTAACAGAAGTTTACGTGTATATTACGTTGTTAGACATGTCGGATATCTGATCGCAAAGATGGAGAGAATGAATCAGGTCTGTTGCTATATTTCAACCGAATATAGCAATCGGCGCGTAAGAAAATAAGCTAGATGAGATCGTGAATAAAGTGAGACGATTAAACCAGGAGTGTGGGATGCTAGGAGATTTCAACGCGAAATCTGCGAAATTGGGGTTCTCTGATCACCGACACTAGAGGTAAAATGCTGAACGAATGGATTGGAAAACTTGACCTTGTTGTACTTAAAAGGGGTTTAGAAGTCACGTTTGTGAGAGGCAATTCTGTGACAGGCTCGTATATCGACGTTGCTTGCGCGTCCCAACGTATATCTGGCTGTGTACAAGATTGGGCGATGCTACAAACCTACCACGGGCATGGAGCACGCTACATTGGATTCTCTATACCTGGGATGGGTGTCACTAATAGAAACAGTACATCTCAGGGCTCGGAATCCAATGCGGAATAAAATCTACTAATTGGAAAATGTATGATGAGAGTGTTAAATGGGAAGTGGAAATAGTTCGAAACCACCCGCCATCCGGCGGATGGGCTAGAACAAGTGATAAAAGGTGCTATGAGGGCAGTAAGGATAAGGAAAATGCACACAGGGTAAGGATATTACTTTACTGGTAGGAATTCTGAGATTGCGAATGCTAGGATGATGTGTGGCCGTGCGTCGCAGGGTGCAGCGTGTGAGGAGACGTAGAGCAGCTGAAGCGTTGGGAGCCCTTAAGCACCGCAAGGCTTCGGGCCTAGATGGGATACTGCTTGAGGCAATTAAACGCCTTGGGCCTACTAAAGCCTGCATGGCTTCTGGGCCACATAAACGCTGTCCTTGTCGGCCATAGCTTTCCCGCAGACTGGAAAACATCGAAACTAGTTGTCCAGCCTAATGAAGAGGACAAATATTCTATTTGCCTTCTATCTTGTATTTATAAACTGTTTGAGAGAATGCTGAGCGGGAGAATCGATTAAGCAATTGAGAGGTCTGGAGGCTTATCCCTAGACAATATGGATTCCTTAAGAAGATTAGCACGACTTGATGATTATCAAATCAATTCGATAATCGAATCCATTCAATAATCTATTCGATTTGGTAGTTGATTCGATAACTGATTCGATAATCAGTTCGATAATCGATTCGATAATCGATTCGATAATTTATTCAATAATAAAGAGAAAGGCACGAACAGAAACATAACTATAAAATTTTAATTTCTAATTAAGTATACTCAATCCTAAAAAACAATAAAATAACCACACCTGTGAAATTGTATAATTTTCCAAAAGTTAACACTTTTAAATTCGGTTTTTAACAATGAATTACCCTCTATTTGCTTGTCAGATTAGGAAGATTGAAGATTATTTTACCAAGTAACAAAAACAAAATCTGTTTAATTTTTAATGTTTTGTATTTTGAGAACGATTTCCGAAGTAGAAATTAACACGTCAAATAAACTTAATTTGGAAGTAAAATTGTGGTTTATTCCCAACAAAAATAGTAAATTAGCATACTTCAAACACGAAGGTATTAAATTCAAATGTTATCTATTGGCTCGTATTTGGGAATTCCACTAAATTCTATCAATAGCTACATAAAAAAGAAAAGGAAAAGTTTCTTTTATTTGCCTTGTTTCCTTTAACCCTTAACTGCAGAGACCCTATTTTAATACACACAGAGATACATGCCGTCTGATAGACTACAATGTAGGAGAGGGGATAAGAACTAAACTTACAAACTTTTTTAATATATTTAATAGTACTCTAAAAGCTGTTTGTATTTGCAATTGAACACAGTAAAGAAACTCAAAATATTGTCAGAGAATAAAAAAATAACTACGACTTTCTAACAGCTAATCATTTACAGTTCGTGACAGTCACATTTTTTACTTTTCATTACAGTGAAAAAATAAATATACATCAAGTAAGTTTTTTTTATATGAAAGGCACTAACACATACTGGATTACGTAAAAATTAACTCGCGAAATTATTTTGATGTAGAAAAAATGTCCAGCAACTGTAAAAGTTACATACAATTGGTACAAATTGGTTTCGTACACTGAAGACACACAGGTTTTCTACATCGGCCACAAAGGTATTTTGTCATACGGTTCTTCTTGCGAGGGCACAAATAACATATTTTTCGCTTCTCTAGTAGTAATGGCTCGTTATCATCTACTTGATTATTCTCAGAAATTCCAAGAATACTCGCTATACTAGCACGAATTAGCCGCGGTACATGAAAATTACCCATTCTTCGCTTCATATGATCTTCTACTAATTGTTTTGCTAATATTTTAGCAAAAGCAGATTTTTCTTGAATTTTAGAATTGTTTTTGTAACTTTGGTGCAGTATGTATGCATTTACAATAGCAATATCTATTATACGAAAGAAAACAGCAAGAGTCCATCTGCGAGTTCTTCGACTACACGAACTTTTAGCACATTTTTCGTCCATGCAGTCTACACCTCCTTTGTTGGCATTATAATATGAAATTATTTCTGGTTTTTCTATTGAAGAATCATTACAAGCTCTATCATGCATTGATGATATTAAAATTGTAGCTTTGTTTTTTCTGGCCACATAAGATACCATTGTACACTCTTCTCTAAATCCATAAACACTAGAACCAGGTTCTCTGGTTTTATTGGCCAAAAATGACGGAGGTATTTCACGTTTGTTCTTTTTCAAAGTTCCTACATACGTAAGAATTATTTTTCTGCAAAACATCTATTAGCTCTAATGACGAAAACCAGTTGTCCGCAGTTATGTTTCTGTTGCTGCCAATTAAAGGTTTAGTTAACCGCAAGACTGCTTGTGTTGGTTTTGAGTATTTTTTTTCTTCGGGTAAAAGACTTAAGCCGTCCGAGTCTTTGCCACAGTATATATACCCGTTATAGAAATAACTGATTCTTGCATCAGTAAGAGCCATTATTTTGATGCCATACTTACATGGCTTATTAGCACATACATTTTAAAAGGCACCTTCCACTAAAACTGACAAGCATTTCATCAACAGTTGCCGATTGACCTAGACCATATGCGTTTTGACAATTTTTAATAAAAGAATTGAATATATAAGAAACTGCTGCTACTGGATCATGTTTTTTTCTTTCTTCTCGATCATCTGGATTATCAAAACGAAGAGCTGATAAAATGACTGCAAAACGCTTTTGATTATGACAGTTCTAAAAATTTCTCTGCCAGTTCCATCTGTTGCAAAAAGCGTTTTTATATTCTCATGGTTCGATTTGAATACCGCAGAATATACGAGGAGTCCTATGAAAGCTTTCATCTCCGTTATGTCAATATCCTTGAGGTCATGTTTATTTGGATCATTATACTTTATTTTAATTAAATTCAATTTATGATTGATTGGAACTAAAAGCGTTCTGGAGGTATTAAAAAACTAATTACAAGACGCCATCAGGTGAATTGGGTTAAATTTTTTTAAAATTGTTTGAGGAATCTCAGGTCTTCGTTTGTTTAAAAACGCAAAAATATTTGTTACCACAAATGAAAATTGAAATTTCATGTCATAAGCTTTAAAGATTTAAAAATGGAAATTTTACTACGAATAAAAACGGTCCATGTTTATATATTTAAAACCATTATAAAAACTGAGTTTATTCGCGGCAAAATACAAAAACTGCATACTAGAGCTGCACTTTTTACCTTTAAAATGCATCTTGATTTTTGTCGATAGGACACTTGGATCAAAAGATATCGAATTTTTACCGTCGAGCTGATACAAATTTTACTGAATTTCGCACGTCACTGATATTCAAAATCAACGGTCGTTTCAAACGTTGTTTTTGAAAAAAACGGTTCATTCTACACAAACTGTGCTAATAAATATTTTTATTTAAAATTGGGGTGGGGAGGTAAATTAGGGGAATGCTCTGTGGAAAAAGTAGTAAACTTTTTTGTTTCTTTTCTAAGATCCCAAATTTAATATTCTTGGCAAAATTCAGCTTGTTTGTATGATTTTTAGGGATCAACTCTCTGGCGACTGGACTAATACATAAATTTAAAAACAATAAGAATTTTTCCTGTAATAAATAATGAATATTTATGGCTTTGGTCTTTAAAATAAAACGATTTTATCAAAAATAAATAACATATTTATGGTACAGTATTAGATTTCTTGTAATAGTTCCATGGTTGCACATCTCCAGAAGCAAATAGAATGAAGGTAATTCCAGCAGTAATATAAAATCCTGCCGAGACAGAAAATATAATGTTCCATAGCTCCTTATCCTCCTAAAAATATTAATTTTAAATTGTTAAATTAAAAAGTTAACTTAAAATTATAATTAGGCGTATATCGACTATGTAGAAACATCTCACTCAAACCGCTTAAAAGCCTATTAACTGAATTTTAGGTGGACAAATAAAAATCATGAACATTTAGTAAAAAGTCTATTTAATTGATATTACTACAATAAGTAGTACATAAGTAATATCAATGACCGAAATTGTATTACCAAGACAATGTTACGACCAAAGAACAACTTTCTATTTGACCAAAAAGTTTATTTTCCAAATTACTGCTGATAAATAATAATAGTGTCCTTTGCCGTTGATTTTTTTTTAACTTTTATAAACTAGCTCTGGAGCTCATTAACTTATTTTGTACATCTTCCATTTATGCATAATATACGTTCCAGTTTTCTAGAATACTACAACAGCTTGTACAAGTCTAGTAGATGAGTACCATACGGTTTTGGAATTCCTTCGTAGTCTCTAAAAGGCGTTTGTCTGTTATTTTGTGCCTCGCAGTCATAAGGTTAGTACTGATTTTACTGGAAATTAACCACAATTTTAGTTCTAATGATTATTTTAACGTTTAGATTCCACTTCGGAAAATGTGGAAATGGAAACATCAAAATAAACATATTTTGATGTTTTGATGTTTGATGTTATTATAAGTTTTGTATGCAGGGAGCCTTTTATGAGTCTAAGCTAATTCCTGCTTGTTTTCTTCAGTATACCTATTAGCACATGTCTATCAAATATATATGTTGCCATATGCTTAACAGACTATAGTTTTCCAGTGGGAGTTATTTTGTGTGAGGATTAAGTTTATTTTGGTCGCTCATAGTGCTTTTGGATACTCCTGAGGTCCGTTTTGGACCAAGCTATTTGATTTATCAGCTCTTTTGTTGCCCTGGCACCCATATTCGTGTGGCAATGGTATTGTCCAGTCTATCGAGTTTTTTTGCAGAGCCACTAGACTATAGACCACATTATTGCTCTTCCCCCGCTTTATGATTAAAAGCCCTTATGTTCAATTCTCAAGAACAATAAAAGATTTGACAAATTTCCGCATCGAGTACAGATCTAAAGTCTCCTGATGGGATAGAAATGTTTACATTTCCACCACTAGCTACTGTAAATTTCTGTGTCCAACAATTGGCAGTTTTAGACTCATCTGTATACCAGATGTAACCTTGAAGCCTAGATTGTGTATTTCCTCTTTCTTATCTTTCCCGTAAATAGTTGTCTATTCAAAAAGGTACTTTAGGCCGGTATTTGGTTACCGCATGATGAGAAGTCAAGATGAATTCGATATCACTAACTTTATTTATGATGTCATTATGTTCTAATACAACATTACTCAGGTTTTATAGCAGTTTATAATATCTTTTTTTTTGCCTTTATAACGATGTGCAGAGAAGGCAGGTCAAGCGACTGCCTTCTCTGCACATCGTTATAAAGGCATGGTTATAAAGACTGGTGCATCCCTCAGAACCTCTTAAATTCTTAGGTAAGCAAGAATTTGCACCTTGCTTAATTTGAGATGCCACTTTTTTGCTACTTCTGGTCACTATACCACTTATCCATATATTATTGTTAAATTTATCACCACGATACATTGGATAAGTAATGCTTTTTTGGTAAATAGTTCTATCTTCTAATTCCACTAAGTATTGAGTCTAGTAGTACACCAATGTACTTTACTTAACAAACTAGATTTGGATTTATACCATTAAGATTTAGAGGACCTAATCTCTATTAATTCCTTATTTTTGTGCTATTTGCTTTCTAGTTTGAGAGTCTTGAAGCTAGCTAGTCTGCTAGGTCTAGGTATAAAACCTCTATATTCACTTGACTTCTTTTGTAGAAAAAGTATACTTGTCTGAGGGTTCTTAAACCCTCAACTTTATTACCTTTAGAGCTTTAACTTCGGAACTATATAGAGTTTCGTCATTTCTGCAGTTTAACGAAAAAAAAAATTTCGTCGACTTCTGTTTTTTTTTGCAAGATTGTTACTCCATCTCGGTACTTTCCTGTTGGAATTGTTCACTGTCTTCGGACAATTATCTTTAAATGCCGCTGTGACAACCACTTGAAATTTTTTGGCAGTTAAGATTAAGTTCAGTGTGTGTTATATCGTTTGTGTAATCCCGATCAAACCGTATTTCATATCTCATTCAGAATATTTTCTTTTTGTAATTTTGTTCTTTTGTAATTTGTACTGTAAATAAATTAAATGAGAATGCAAATTTCCATATAGTTTTCTCCCAAAATATCTCACCAATAAAATCGATAAGACCAGTTACCAGCACTTCTCAATCTAAATAAATAAAAATAAAGTCTGATGACTTCTCCGTGAGTTATCTTGAGCGAGTGTCATCAATCTTTTTTCTTCCATTCTGGTCACGTGATGATTTCTGTGTCTTTGCCTGTTCGTGATCTATACTATAACTCTTAAAGATAGAGTCGTGATACTTGGTGCATAATTTCCTATTTTGATAAGCAAGATCCCTTCCTTGAAAGAGGTATGTAAAAGTATTGAATATTGGCAATAGGTCTTCTACTTTTTCTCACATTATTTTTTCTTGAAGGAATAGAAATAGAGTCTTGAAAATTAGTACACAGGTCTCGATGATTAGGAAGAACACTATTAAATATAAGTTCAATAGTCTTCTCTTTTTTAATTCTTAAATTATGAAATTTACATTTTATAGTTAGTTTAGGTTAGGTTTAATATGAGAGGTCGCTTGACCACCCTTTTGACTTAAGAAGTCTATTGTGGCTCATCTTTCAGTTAAAGTTGTCCTTTTAGTCCAGCCTTGTCCTCTAACAAAGTTTATTACTGTCTTTGGTGACACTTCTACGGAGTCGTAGGTCTCGAGTTAATAAGGCTCTAATATATTGAGTCTTAACCCTGGGCGGTTGCACAGAAAGTTTTCCGCCTTCTCGTCTTCAGCCTGACTGACGAATCTGCAATTCGCACTTTCTGTCAGTCCGATTTTATTCATGTGTTTCTTAAGACGACAGTATACTGTTAGTAGACCTACAATAATTCGCAGATTATTCCTATTCATATTTAGTAGATCTTTGGATCTCTTCTTCAAAGGTTTATCTCTTTTTCATTGGTTGATCCGTTCAACCTAGTTTGGTATGGTATTTTTGGGACTGTGCTTCTTACTATACTAACGAAAGGTTATCTGCCTATGAATGTTTCTTTTGTCCCCCTCCTAGCAAGATCCTATTATTATTTATTATAATTGCATATTCTAAAAAAATATTAAAAAAATTATAATTTCACTGAAATTCAATGAAATTAATTTGTACTTAATATAAATGAAGTTTATAGAATAGAATAGAAGAAGAATACTATACAATATACTTTACAATAGAGGAAAAAAATCAGTTTTTTTATGTTGTTTTAAGACAGATTAAATTGTACATTCTAATAAAATTAAATTATAAATTATAAAAATACCTCAGTATAATTCGAAAGGTACTTGACAGCATCTACTGCTAGGGGTGCCATAATAGTGAAAAGCGCAGAAATCGTGTTGGTTATACCCATCATAGTTCCTGCAAAAACTGGTGACAAGTCAATATGATTAATGTTAAATCCACTGTAGTGTCCAGCATTGAAAGCCACTGTTATTACTAGAATTGTCTCTATTAACCACTTATTATCGCTTTGTATAAATGAAATTGATATTAGAGCCAAAGCCGGTATAAAGAAACCTGAAAATAATAAGAAAAAAGTTAAGAAAAATCCGTTACATAAAACTTAAATAGTATAAATAATTAACATAGAAATCCGAATACCCTTTATAAATTATTATTTTAAAAATATTTTATACAATTATATAGGGTAGTATAATAAACAAACGATCATTTTAATGCGATTAAAATAACTTAAAATCAATGATTGCTATATAGATAATCCTCGATGGGCCCCCAATAAGTCGATTATAATTGCTATACACAAAAAGGGAGATAGAACTGAATGCGCAAGCTATAGAGGAATATCCTTATTAGAGGTAATATATAAAGTACTCGCCATACTAATTAAAAAACGATTAGAAATATATATATATATATATATATATATATATATATATATATATAAATTATATTAGATAGTCAGTATGGAGATTACTATATATATTATCCTTGTATATATATATATATATATATATAAGATATATATAGATAAAGAGAGAGGAGAGAGAGAGAGAGAGGGGAGAGAGGAGAGAAGAATCTAGGAGAATACCAGGGAGGATTTCGGAAAGGAAGATCAACAACTTATCAAAAACAAATTCTGATCAATTGCTATGAATTCAACATGTCACCACAAGCACTTTTCATTGATTACAAAGCTGCCTACGATACAATAGACAGAAACAAGTTAATAGAAACACTAAAAGAATTCCAAGTGCCAGAAAAAATAATAAGATTTATATAAATGACAATTAGACAAACCATTTCTGCTGTAAGATGCAACAGTACAGTCTCAGAAGAATTCGAAGTGAAAAAAGGTGTTCGCCAAGGAGACCCGTTGTTTACATTGCTATTCAATATATTTCTAGAAAAAATTGTAAGGGTTAGTGGGATAAATAGGTCCGGAATTATTTTATACAAGCAGCACCAAGGCTTAGCATACGCTGATGATGTGGTTCTCATTGCAAGAAATGGAAAAGAACTATCAAATATAGCAAAAAGACTGATTCGGGAAAGCTCTAAAATGGGACTGAAAAATAATATTAATAAATCGAAGTACATGGAGATCTCGAACAAAAAAGGAATAAACACCAGGGGATCCTTTAAATTGGAGGTGGATGATGGATCAGTTGTAGAATTCGAGAAGGTGGTTGAATATATGTACTTAGGTACTCTTATTGATCAGACATGTAAGGAAGAAACTGAAATCAACCTAAGACTGACCAAGAGCAACAGGTGCGCTGGAGCCATGAGCAAAATAATTAAGGCCAAAGATATATCTCGTAATACAAAAATAAGAGTATACAAAACTATAATTAGACCCACAATGCTGTACGCTGCCGAGACATGGACTATGAACAAAACCATACAGAACACATTGGAAGCATGGGAAAGAAAGATACTTCGCAGAATATTGGGTGGAAAAGTAGTAGAGGGAGAATGGAGAAGATGAATTAATGCAGAAGTGTACCATTTGTATGCTAACCCTACAATAACAAAAGTGGTGAAAAAACGTAGACTAGAATGGCTCGGTCATCTAGAAAGAATGCAAGGTAATAGACTAGTCAAGAATATTGCTTGGAGAGTACCTGAGGGCAAAAAAAGAGAGGAAGACCAAGAAAGAAATAGAGAGATGTAGTGATGGAAGATGTCAAAGAGATGGGAATCAGAAATTGGAAGCTGTTAGCTAAAAATAGAACACGATGGAAATTATCCATCCAGCAATGGGCCTAAAAGACCTGTTAACGCTGTACATACATACATCTTCATCGAGATATATATCTCGATAAAGATATACCTAATCGACAATATACTATGGTACTGGATCTCCACTGGTGGTACCACTTGTCACCACTTAACCAAATCAAATCTTTTATCGACTGCTAATCCTTTCTTTCCACGTCCTTCTATTCAAGTTTTCCGACCAACGCAATTCATTACAAACAAAAATAGACATTATAAACAGACTCTAAAATGTTTAGATTATCAATCTCAGAAACGCAAAAATATTTAAGGATCTTTTCCGGAGCCCACAATATACCGGGTCAAATGAAATTGCTCCACATGGAAGTGAAAAACCAAAATCAAATTTCTCTCAACGTTCTTTGTCCTCACTCAACCAGATCGAATATTTTATCGACTGCTAATTCTTTCTTTCTCACGACCTTCTATTCAAGTTTTCCTATGAACGCAATTCATTACAAACAAAAACAGAAATAAATTTTACTTATTATGAACAGACTCGAAAATTTTCGTTTATTTCGTTTATTAATCTCAGAAGTGCAAAAAGATTAAGGATCCTTTTCGGATACCATGATATACTGGGTGAAACTAAAATGCTACAGGTTTATAAAAAAATGTAGCTTTTAATACTTGGATCTGAGATATTAAAAAAGCTACGCATATATACAGTATAGGTAAAAGTTTATGGTCGGTATGGACCTTACATGAGATGGAGTGAGAAACAACTGTTTAAAAAGAGAGAGATATATTAGGTGTCCGCCTTTTATATCACCGAACATAAATGAGTGGATATGGAGTGGATATAATAAAAAGGGGAAATTCAATGTTGCCAAACTTATTGGTTTTATTTGACCTGTTGTCTTTTTCGCATTTGAACAATGCTCCAAGATAATGAAATTTGGGCGAAATGGATTTAAATGGCAGCTTATTGTTTTTTATTGGGAATATGTCACAATTTTACTTTACAATAAGTGTAATATATCATTTTGATTTATACTTCGGAAATCGTTTTATATAAATAAAATTTATTAATGTTTGGTATTTTAAAAACGATTTCCGAATTAAAAATCTAAACATCAAAATAAGCTTATTTTAAAGTGACATTATGCCTTATTTCCAATAAAAATATTAAACTGCATATAAATAAAAAAGCTTCGTACAAAACTATTTGCCAACGTGGCGTGTCGCGTGGTCAAATCACCGAATCAAGGGGTACACAGGTATTTACGAATAGAGGTGGGTCATTAACGTCGCAAAACCGATTTTCGTAAACAAGTAACTATGATTTTTTAATAGTAGTTTCAAGTAAGAAACTACCTACATAAACAAACATAATGGCTATTATCGTTTATGTGTATATTTATTGAAGTGAAGGAAACTAATAAAAGATTTTATTATAATTTGAAAACTAAACTAAACAATACAAATAGTAAATCGTACCTACGTTTACATTACACGTTATTATTAAATCACGAATCGCCTAAATTGACATTTAAAAACATAAGTTTTTGTACTTTACTTCTTATTAACCGTGTTTTTCTTTTATTTAAAATTAAACCTGATTTTGTACATGTGTTCACATTTACAATACTTTATGAATATAGTGGTTAAGTTAGGAGATACATGGCGATGGTTTTTCCACCATTGTAATGGACTCTCGCTACAGGTGTACGTTTAGATGAGTCATGTCCAATTAATTGATCAAAAATACACCGTGGACTTAGTCATCTTTATCGGTTTCTTTTTCTTATACTGGTTGATTTTCAATAGTATAATCTTCTTGTTCTTTAATTATAGAAGTAACCAGCTTCTTAACTCTTTCTTTTGTTTTTTTAGCGTCATTTTTATCAGAAAATCCCTGCACTTTAAATCGTGAATCCATAAACGTACATAATGACAATATGCACGTATTCATCCTCTAATTTTTTGCTAAAAAAGAGATTAGTAATTATCCCGTAATTAGTAATAAAAACCCGTACTACGTCGGATACTATGGATGTAAGGTTACTGTTTGCTAAAATTTTATTGCAAGATTTTTGCAGGCAGGGTACCAGAACAATCACTGAACTATCATTCAAGTATTTTTGGCCACTCATTGTACTTGTTATTTCTTTAAAAGACCGTAAAATTTGGGACAATTACGAAAAAATAATCTAGTCTTCATTATTTAGATTTGGTCTAAGTCTAAGTCTGTATTATTTAATACCGATGTGGAACGGAAATACACGCCAGTACACCGAAAATATCAAAATACAGAGAGGAGTCCGCCAGGGTTGCGTGCTGTCCCCACTACTTTTCAATGTCTACAGTGATCGGTATTTTAAGAAGCGCTCTCAGACTCAATAGAAGGTATATCTATCAATGGAGAAGTTTTGAATAACTTACGTTTTGCAGACGATACAGTAATAATTACGGATAACAACAATGATTTACAGAACCTAATGCAACGCCTTAATGAACGCTGTCATGAGTACGGACTGAAGATAAATTTAAAGAAAACTAAATGCATGATCATGACTAAATCTGCACAAATATCCAATTGACTATTGAAGATACTGCAATTAAGAGTGTTAATAACTATAAATACTTAGGAACATGGATAACATCAGATGTAGACCAAACCAAAGAAATTAAGACACGTATTGAAATAGCACGTACATCATTTATTAAACTTAAAAAGTTTCTTTGTTGTCGGGATATAAGGTTAGAACTACGCCTGAGAATGCTTCGATGTTACGTGTTCTCTACTCTTCTTTATGGTCTGAAAGCTTGGACACCAAAACAAGTTCATCTGAATAAGTTGGCCGCCTTTGAATTTTGGTGTTACAGAAGAATCCTACGAATATCATGGATTCAAAAAATGTCAAACATTGAAGTAACTAGAAGGATAGGAAATGAGGCAGAAATAATATTAACTATTAAAAGACGAATACTTGAGTACTTGGGACATGTGATGAGAGGGCAAAAATACGCATTATTACAACTTATTATGCAGGGCAAAATCCGAGAAAAGCGAAATGTGGGAAGACGAAAAATATCCTGGCTTAAGAACTTAAGGGAATGGTTTGAATGCAGTAGTGCAGACCTTTTTAGAGCGGCAGTCAACAGAGTCGGCATAGCCATGATGATTTCCAACCTTCGATAGAAGATGGAACTTAAAAAAGAAGAAGTGAAACGGATTGCCTCTTCTAACTCAGTCATTCTTTTTAACCTGTAATAGGTGAAGTTCTACCTAGTTTCCACGTCTTGGATTGGCCGTTTGGGAACTTTGTTATGTTGTAATTAATACTTTAAAAGCCTTTCTGAAGATAAGGTACTTTTTTTAATGTTTTTTGCAGAATTGTCGAAAAAAGGACTTTTTATTTTATCTATTATCAAATCAGTTTTGACATAACATTCCTGAAGTAATGAATCTAACAGTTTTTCTTGTTGGCGGTTTATATCCAGGAATCCACCCTGCAAACTTTTTAAAAGCTGGTTCTTCACCTATAGAAAACGGATGAAACGAGTCTTTGCATAAGTTTAGTAAATCAATAAGTTTAGTCAAGAAAAAGAAACTGATAAAGATGACTTAAGTCCATTGTGTATTTTTGATGAATTAATTGGACATGACTCATCTAAACATACAACTGTATCGAGAGATATACAAGAAGTCGACATGTATTTGTCTGATAATATATTACCCACAATAAATTTCGAACGGAGATTGGAACTGTCCATTACCGTGGTGGAAAAACCATCGCCATGTATATCCTAACTTAGCCACTATATTCATAAAATATTGTAGAATTGTAACAAAATCTTTTCCTTGTGAACACATGTTTAAAATCTGGTTTAATTTTAAATAAAAGAAGAACACGGTTAACAAGAAAAGTAGAAAAACTTGTTTTTAAATGTCAATTTAGACGATTCGCGATTTAATAATAACGTGTAATGTAAATGTAAGTACGATTTAATGTAAATGTAAGTACTATTTGTATTGTTTAATTTATTTTTCAAGTTATAATAAATATATCCTTCGTTAGGTTCTTTCACTTCAATACTTATACACATAAACGATAATAGCCAATATGTTTGTGTACTCGCTAATTTGAATCAACTAGTTACAGTTTACGAAAAACGGTTCCGATAAAAATTTAAAAAACGGGAGGACCCACCTCTAGTTTTTTAGGTATATTAGGATCGGAACCAGAGAATATGTAAAATATCTCTGATCGGAACTATTCGTCTCACTAATGGCCAATAGGTGTTAAAAATATTTGAGGAGGGGAGACCAAGGGGAAATATGATTGTTATCTTTGTCTATTCGCTGAAAATATGATTTTATATCTGCGTTAGATATCCTGTTAAATTTTACCATACCGACCATAAAATTTTTCCTACACTGTATATATATATATTATATATATATATATATATATATATATATATATATATATATATATATATATATATATATATATATTTGTGTATCACATGCAGCAACTAAAACTTATTCGTAAACTATTTCGTAAGGTTTTATTATGCAACAATTAGATTTTGCAATGAATTGTATATTTTACTATCTTTTATTTGTGATATTGACGATTTTTGTAATTTTAGTAAATTTTAATTGTTATTGTTGTTTTTTTTTTTACTTTTTGTAAGCATTGTATAATTTTCAGTGACAATAAAGCATATTTCTATTTTAGAACCCTACGCGTTCCATAAGGTTTAATGTGTTTTATATATTGTTGTATATGTGGTTTGTTGTTTATGTTTTGTTAAACAATGGTTTATGGTTTTATTACGTTTATTAGTATTTTCTTAAATACATATTCCTGAATTTTTATCTTTCTTCTGTCTACTGCTATATCTAACGTGACATACTAATGTTGCCAACTAACAATTAAGCTGGAGTTATACACCATAATTCACTATATTTTTTCAACTTATCACTCACTGGATAAGAGCAGAACATACTCAATACCCTGAACAGGTTAATGTTTGGGGAAGAATTTTTTAAACTTTTTATTCCTTGTGTGATATTTCAGTTTAAATAAAATATTATATAAAGTACTTTACGATTTTATCTACTCCATCTTTATTCTTTTGTGTAAATGAATTTTTATAAATATATTTCTATAAACTGAAAATTAAAATTCACCGTTAGGTGTTTCTCACTTATTCGAAATATTTCATATGTTTACGATACTAAAAATAAAAGCAAGCAAAAGCAAAAAGTCAAACCAATAGTCATTATTTATTCAAGTGAAAAAACTGTTTCAAATAACTTTCAAATATTGGAAGGTACGCCGCTGGCTTAAAAGGAAATGTCACAGTCTATCACCTCGTCTCTTTCCCCGTGCCTATAAACTTTTCGACTTTAAATTTAGGTGAACAGAGTGCAGGGCATGCCTAGTCCATCTTTATTTATACGTCCATGCAAAACATTGATTAATATGTTTGTTTCTTTGGTATGTGTCCTTTTATTTTAAATAGTTACCATAACATTACAAATATTTTTTAAAAAAAAGAGACACACCTGCTAATATCACATTCAGAAAAATACTTACGTTGTATCTGAATACAATATCAAATACAGTTTAAGTTTACCTTTCTTACAATATTATAACTTGCATATTTTAAATTTTCAAGATTTTGGTTTTACATGGTAGATCAACTATTAGACGGTCGGCAAGGAATAAACAAAAGATAATAGATTTACTTACCGTTAACTAAATGTAATCCTCTCCTACTATTCTTTTTAAAAGGCATATTGTCCGAACACTAAAACTAACGCTAATACTAATACAAAAATTACCACTAATACGTTATGCAAGGAACACTATTGTTTATAAATACTGAAATAATTTACTAAAAACTCCTACTTAAATAGGAGTTTTTAGTAATCTCCTAACATTAAAATTTGAAAGCGGCAGTTCAAGACATAATTCTTGTTTAACGAGATTTTTTCATATGTTTAGGAAAAAATATTTAACGTTTTATTGCAAATATTTTTCACTTTTACAGTTTTATATATGTTGTTATTAAAAATTTTTTGGTTTCTTACCGGAAGCTTTATTATAAGCAGAAACATATTATTTTTTCTATTGGGACAAAACTGTAAATTCAAACATTTTCAAAAAATTCCTAAGTATTTCTTATAATTATATCTTGATGCTGTAAAAAAATGAACAATATTACATGTCTGGTTTTCCCGCTTTATACTTGGAAAAAAGTAGTTTTTTTGAGTTTTTTTAAAAACGAAAACATGAAATTTTCTTAAAAGTTGTCAAAATACTTCTAGTCATCTCATACACCTCAAATTTTTTCAAATTTTTTGAATTTGGAATTTATCTTTTGGGGGGTGCAGATCAACCTTAATTTTTGTCTATTACAAACACAAAAAATGTATATTGTTAGTAACTTATGTTTATGAGTAATTTAGCCCATAAAACTGCAAATGTAGTGTTCTATATTTTTTTAATTTAAGTTAATTTTTCTTTTAATTGATATTTTAATAATTTGACATTTGGCAGTTTTCAAAATTCTACAAAATTTGATAATTAGCCTTTCAAATGTGAGATTTAGATATATCTCCGTCTACAGCAATATTTACGCAATTTTTTATCTTTTCTCATTATTAGGCCCATCTGCATCGAATTTAGATACCATATATTTAGAAATTTACATTGGAAACTTACCAATAGAGTTAAATATTTTTCTACTTCTTATTAGACTAACATATCCTCTATCTATTATAAAATCAGCTAATGGTCCTAAGAATAAACTCGTTAACCACATAATGAAATATGGTAGGGCTGCCAGTACACTACCCTGAAAGTTAAAAAATAATATATATATATATCTCTGTTATCTGTACATACAAGGTGTCCCAAAAAGATTGGTCACAAATTATAAATTGATTTTTAAGGACGAAAATAAGTCGATTTGGCCTAACTTGCCTATAGGCTTACTTATCTAACTGCACACAGAAAAAGTTACGAGGTGTTAAAGTTACAAAATAAAATCGATTTTTTAAAAATATTGTTCCAAAATGTTTTAAATTTTTTTTATAAAAATAGCTTGGCCATGGCCAATAAAACCCAAGTAGAGAAAAATGTTTTCTCGATTTTTCTAGATTTTTGGGGGTTCTCCAAATCTTCCACCCTCACCAACTTTTTTGCAGTGTAATATTGGATTTTGTATTAAAAACAGGACAATAAAATGAAATACCTATTACAACTTTTTTGTTTTTTATTTGTCTGTAAAATCATTAATTTTTAAGATACAGGAAATTTTTTAATGTAATATTACATTTTTACAAATAATAAGTTTTTTTATTAACTTTCAATTGGAAACAGAAAATGTAATAATTTAATTGAAAAGTATTCAAAGTGACCTCGCCCTTCCTGTACATGGGTTCTACATCATTTCAACAAGGAATACCGAATATTTAAAAAAATCAAATGTCTCTGTCGAAATGCATTAGTAGCTTCTAAAATTCTGTTTATTGATCAGTTTTTCATCTAACTGGCATTGTTCATACGTAAGACAAGAATCCGGTGAATTTTCGATGTGTCGCGTCTTTCTATGGCGTCTACAATGTGTTTCCAGTCGTCATAGCCTTCCATCCAAACATTTTGTATTTTTTTAGATACCCGATTTGGGATTAACGAATACGCCTTCTAAAATATTACGGAATAGGATTGCCATGTACGTTCAAGTTTCAATAATATAATAATAATTTTCTAAACAATATCTACAATCACTGTCTTTGGAGATGAACATGTTAAGAAAAGATCCTTAGGATTACAATGTCGTTTTTCTATCACCAACCGTTTCACTTTATTTTTTCGTCTAGTTCTTTAAAATTACCCTTATCAGTACCTAGTATATAGTGAATATACCACATTTTTCAGACTAAGATATGATTCAGTTTAATTTTTTTAGTACATTGTACATTTAGTTGTTCTAAATAAACACAGGTGCGTCGGGTGCTTTATCTACCATACTGTTACGTTTATTTAAGTACAATTCTTCAATTTCAGAGCACTGTCCACTTGTTTTTTATCAATAAAGTCATAATTTTTAACATACTGACTTATTTCAGGTAAATTTTTATTTTTTCTTCAGATTTTCCTTTTCTCTTTCGTTTTTCGTCCATATTTTAAAAAGTTTTAATACGATATTACTGTCGGCGTCGCAAAAGATATTTTGTGTTTAGATTTCGGCTATTCTCAAAATCCGAACAATGAATTTCAGAGCGAAGAAGTCGTCTACTGGGAAAGTGTGTACAAAATATTTTATTTTTACATTATAATTATGACCTCTGGGCATGTGTCAAATGAGTCAAGTGTTCTTTTAATGAATATTTTGATTCGGTATACACGCGATTATCCGAGCTAATTGGGACCGCGCATACCTCGGATACCGAAAAACTCGGATAACGCGAAGATCGGGTATTTGCTTAAAATCAACGAAAAATTTAGAAGTTATAACGTATGTAATTAGTTTATTATGTACACTTGAAGTATGTAAACCTTTATATAGAGTACATAGTTAAAATATATAGATAAAAAACATTTACGTACTGGATCATCTTAATGTTTTAAAAAAGTCCCCTGCGTCAACTTCGGGCCTCCTCTTGACGGCAGTTCCGTTGGTAACTGATTAGCGAAGTCTACTATTTTATCAATACAGTTATTGTTATCTATTTCGTCACTTGTCGCGTTAAATTAAAAAAGCTTTCGCCATGACTTTTGCAAAGTTGTTTCTCTCACATCATCCCACGCTAAAGCTACACAGTAAGGCACATCCCTAACGGTGATCTTTATAAGGACTTCTCTCACAGTCATTACTTCATCCAACCAGGTCAACAAAACTTGGAGAAGCCTTCAACGATAGTTCCGTTTCATAGCCACTAAAATTCCTTGGTCCAGAGGTTGAATGAGAATGTGACGTTTGATGACAAGAAACAGTTTTAGTGTCTTTAATGTCACCGCTAGCCAACGAACTTGCATCTGGATGAGATGGTGCGTTGTCCAAAAGAATAATACCTTTTCCTAGAGGGTGATATTTTTTAAGTAGGCCTCAATAACGTAAACGAACTTGACAAAAAACCAATTCTAAAAAGTTGGTAATCCATCCACGCACTACGTTAATTCCTGTAGATTGTGAGTAGGCAGTCTACTTTAATATTTTTAAAAGCCCTTGAATTCTTCGGTTTTCCAATGGTCTTTATTTTAAGGATCCAGAAGGGTTGCTACCCATCAAAAGATAATTTACTTTGAGCTGCCAGTGTTGTGGTTGTAAGCATTCTGAAATTGAGATCCGTTCGTCACATGAGATGATCTGAGAATGCTCTGAAATGACTCTCAATTTAAACGGCTCAATTTAAGATGAATCGGCTGAAACTTTTTCACCCCAAATGTTTAGTTGTCAGATGTCATACCTCCTTTTCCATCTGTCGAGTCAACCATGACATGCAGTAAAATTTTCCCCGCCATCCTTTAACCGTTTGTAAAATTCGACAGCCTTAGCTTAAAGCATTGGGCCGCTAATTGGACCTTCCAACCCTGAAGATTAAAAAAAATCAAAATAAGGCTTCAGAAGTCTGTTCGTATTCTCCTTTCTTTGTAGTTTTCTGCAACAAATCACTTCAACCACTCACATTTTTATTTATCCATTGTTTAATATCTTTTCGTTTACGTCTCCAATCTTCACTACTCACTTCTGCAACATCTAGATCAGAAGCAACCTTATTTACTGACTCACCCTTATCCAAGCGTTTTATAGCACTTAATTTTGTTTCTAAAGAAACCACAACTAGTTTACATTTTAAACTTATATTGCACTTCACGTTACGTAGAAAATACATAAGGAGAAGACATCAATGAACTTGTAAGAGCTTACAGTGGAAGGAACCGAACTGTTATGACTCGACCTGATGGGTTGAGCAGTGACTGTTGAGGCGATTATAGAAGCATAGTGGCTAGAACAAGAACACTCGCTAGTGACACTTTGTTCTTTTCAATTACTACATCGGTTAATCCAGAAGCTCGGTTAATCGGGACTCGGATAATCGCGAGTCTACTATGTTTATGATATTGTTCGCAATGTGCATAAAGTCCAGTTTTCCAAATTTTTGTTACATATGTTTTTGCGTCTCATAGAGTCTCTAAGCATATACCCGAACTACTATACTCGCTTAAAACGACACTCGGTCCTAACTGCAAGACTCAAGAGTCTTGCAGGCTTAGTCTTGTTCTTGCTTAAATCTTGCACGGTCAGTCTTGGTCTTGGTATTCATTATCATCATTTTGGCTTTACAACCCTGTGTGGGTCCTAGCCTCCCCAAGAATTCTCTTCCAGTCGTCCCTATCCATCGCCTTCCTCCGCCAAGCACGTATTTCCATATTTTTCATATCTTGGTCTATGTTTTCTAGGAATCTTGTTCTGGGTTTTCCTCTTCTTCTTTGACCAATAGGTCTATCAAGAAGCGTTTTTCTAGCTGGGTCGGTTTGCTCCATCCGCATTACATGCCCTACCCACCTCAGACGTCCTGTCTTAATGTGTTTTACGATATCTGGTTCCTGGTATATTCTATAGAGTTCTTGGTCTTGGTATTGGTCTTGCGAAAACGCAAGAACAAGACCAAGACTGCAAGACCAAGACCGATTTTGGGCAACACTATTGATTACTCACCTTTGCTATTGAATATTTCATAACAGACTTCATAAAGCTAGGAATCTCCGTCAATAAGGTCCAAAATCCCCAGTTTTGTCCACAGTGAGTAATTATTATGGCTATAAAAGGCACTGAGGTAAAAAGAGATTTCCAAGGCGTCGGAGGTACCTTAAATAAATATAAATCAAGTAAAATTAATTAATATATAATATATATATATATATATATATATATATATATATATATATATATATGTTCGGAAAGATTTCCGCGGTTAGTACAATGAAACTAGAGTAAGATTATTACTATTACAAAAATTAATATTAAACTCACCAGTCTTCCGGATTGAACCGCGTCGATATTCATTTTGCGAGCTTTCGACATCCTCTCTGATGTCTTCCTCAGGGCTTCCGAGGTCTCAGTCTCCCGAGCCCCCAGACACTACTACACTGTTCACTGATCACTGCACTAGTACTGCAGTAGTGACAGTGCAGTGATCAGTGAACAGTGTAGTAGTGTCTGGGGTCTCGGGAGACTGAGACCCCGGAACCTCTGAGGAAGACATCAGAGAGGATGTCGAAAGCTCGGCAAAAAGGATATCGACGCGGTTTCAACCCGGAAGACTGATGAGTTTAATGTTAATTTTTGTAATAGAATTAATCTTAGCACTGGCTTTCATATATATACATATATATATATATAATATATATATATATATATATATATATATAATATATATATATATCTATATGTATATATTCATTATATATTTAAACGGCAGAGTAGGGAGAGAAGAAAATAACAGAGTCGTAGGAAGATATATGGGGAACAAATAACCAATGACAACGGAATGCGTCTTAGAGATTTTTTGTGAAATAATGTCTCTCAAATTATGAATGGATTTTTTCAGCATTGAGACATCCACAAATTTACATGAATACAACCTACTAGAAATCTGCGCTCGATAATCGACTATGTAATCCAACGTCAAACTTCCCAGCTGAAAACAACTGACGTAAGGGTATAACCGTGGATCAGAATGTGGATCCGACCATCGTTTACTTATGGCCAACGTGATAGTTAACTATCGTAAAAAACAATTACACTCAGGTACAGAATATAAAAAAAGAACAAGAAGTAACATCCTCTAAATATAATCTAGAAAGCTTAAAAGAAGATTCAATAAAATTTCTTTACAAATTACGACTGGTCACAAAACTACAAAATGTGCATCGAGAAAATATATCAGCGGAAGAATTATACCAGCAACTTAAAAATGCATTCATGAGGCTGCAAGTAAAGCTTTGGGTTATAAAGACAAACATGGAACAAAAAATCAAGAATGGTGGTCGGAGAATATGCAAACGTTAGTCAACAAGAAAAAACTGCTTATCAGAAATGGACGTCAACGAGAAGGGAGGAAGATTACAAGATACATCAAAAATTAAATCGAGATGTAAAAAGAGAAGCAGTGAAAAGTAAAAATGATATGTGGAATCGAAGATGTGTAGAGGTGGATAGGTATATGGGTGGAACAAGAGTTGGGCAAGCTTGGAAGGTGATAAAGTTTCTCCGGAGGGAGGGAAAGGAAAAATCTAAGGTACAATCAAAAGATCTAAAACAGTGGAAACACCATTATGAGGTCTTACTGATAGAGGATAGATGTAAATTCCAAGAAATAGAAATGGAAGAAATATCCGAACACACACACAAACAATTGAGATAACAACCGGAGAGTTAAACGTTGTCCTCAAAAGATCGAAAAAACGGTAAACCAGCAGGACCTGGAGACATCCCAATTGAGTTGGTAAAGTATGGACCAAAAATATTACATGTTGGTTCAACTATTTAACAAATGCTTAAAAGGACAAAATATCCCTGACGATTGGAATATTGGATACATCAGCTTAATATTCAAGAAAGGGAATAAACGCAAATGCTCTAATTATAGAGGAATAACTGTTATCAGCTCAGTGGGGAGGGTGTACGGTCGAATAATAAAAGAAAGGATAGAATTAGAATACGAAGACATAGAAGAACAAAATGATTTCGTGCAGGAAGATCGTGCACTGATGGTATATTCGTTCTGCAGCAAGTAATCGAAAAACGGAAGGCAAGGAATCTATCTACCCACTTATTGTTTGTCGATTTAGAGAAGGCATACGATACGGTACCTTTGAAAAAACTGTTTTAAACATTGACGAAAGTAGGTCTCATTAGAGAGTATGTAAATGCTATCGCAAATATATACAAAAATGCATGAAGTGTCATTAAAGAAGGAAATTTTATATCTGAATCATTTCCAATAACAAAGGGGCTTAAACAAGGATGTTGTCTACCTCTGACCTTATTTAAAATATATTCAATCATCGCTAGAGCAGTGGAGGAAACAAGTATCCTGAATGGGAATAGACATAGGTGGTGGTAAATGTTTAATAACTTTATTTTTCGAAGATCATAGGTAGTCGTAGCGAATGATGAGGAAGACATGGACTACATGTTGAGAAAACTAAAGAAAGAATATGAAAAATGGGGCCTCAATATGAATATATCAAAGACATATTAACAGACAGAATATCTTAAAACGGGAGATGATGAAGAAGATCCAGAGTTAGAAATTAGAAGCACAAAAAACCTGCGATGAATATAAATAACTCGGATCTATAATATCTAAAAAAGGCACTACCAAAAGAGACATCGAAAACAGAACGCAGCAGGGAAAAAACACTCTATCCTAACCTGGAGACGGCTTACCCAATAATCCTGATAGTAATGGTCATTACATTTGCTTTAATTTGAGGTAGATTGCAACTATAGCATTACTTTGTCATGATGGATTAGTTTTTCTACATGGAACATGAAACGTTCACTAAGCTGTAAACGTTTGATAAATTTGTTTTGAGTATTAAAAAATATTACTTACCTCTTCCTTTTTATCTGGTATTAGAGATTTAAGCCACATCTTTTCTTCTTCCGATATTCTTTTGTCACTATCAGGATTATTAGATCCGAATATAAACCATAGTAGAGTCCACACCATTCCACAAACCCCATAAAAGTAAAAGGCCATCGGCCAACCAGCGTCTGAATCAGATATTATTCCAGCTATTGGCATTGACATGCAATTACCAAGACTTGTCCTAAAATATATTTTTAACTCTGCTACAGTCAATATTAAATAATTACCAAAAAAAGTCATTTAAGATTAATGCTCATAATAATTAGCTTGTATGATATGATTCAAAATTATATTGGAATCAAACTGCCAAGGTAAGAGTTGACAGCCAGTATACCCAAAATATCAAAATATAGAGAGGAATCCGCCAGGGTTGTGTGCTGCTCCCATCTACTTTTTAATATCTACAGTGAAGTGGTATTTCAAGAATCGCTCTCAGACTCAACAGAAGGTATATCTATCAATGGAGAAATTTTGAATAACTTACGTTTTGCAGACGACACAGTAATAATTACGGATAACAAAAATGATTTACTGAACGTAATGCAACTCCTTAATGAACGCTGTCATGAGTAAGGACTGAAGATAAATTTAAAGAAAACTAAATGCATGATCATGACTAAATCTGCACAGGCAAATATCCAATTGACTATTGAAGATACTGCAATTGGGAGTGTTAAAAACTATAAATACTTAGGAATATGGATAATATTAGATGTACACCAAACAAAAGAAATTAAGACACGTATTGAAATAGCACGTGCATTAAAACGTATTGAAATAGCATTTCTTTGTTGTCGGAATATAAGTTAGAACTACGCCTGAGAATGCTTCGATGTTACGTGTTCTTTACTCTTCTGGCTTGGATGCGTGGACACTAAAAGAAGTCTATCTGAATAAGTTGATCACCTCTGAATTTTGATGTTACAGAAGAATCCTACAAATATCATGGATTCAAAGAATGTCAAACGTGGAAGTAACTAGAAGAATAGGAAATGAGGCGGAAATAATATTAACTATCAAAAGACGAAAACTTGAGTACTTAGGACATGTGATGAGAGGGCAAAAATAAGCATTATTACAACCTATTATGCAAGGCACAATCCGAGGAAAGCGAAATATGGGAATACGAAGAATATCCTGGCTTAAGAACTTAAGGGAACGGTTTGAATGCAGTGGTGTAGAATTTTTTAGAGCGGCAGTCAACAGAGTCCGCATAGCCATGATGATTTCCAACCTTCGATAGAAGATGGAACTTAAAGAAGAGGAAGAAGCACATAATAATAATAAACTTTACGTTTATTTAAGGTGTAAATTATTGTTTTTGTCTGTTATGTGTGTGTGGAAAAGTAATGGCATGGAATCAAGTCCATTTGCCACATAAAATTGTATACAGAACTTTTCTTATAATATAAATACAGAGTTGTGGAATATGCTGCTTTAAATTTCTACTTTAACTTCTTTTCTCTAATAAAATTTAGTAGAAGTTCTAAGGAATTTCTATTGGCAGTTAACAAAATGTGTAATAGATTGAATGGAAGAAAATATTTCTTTTAATTGAGTTTACGAATTAAATCATCGTTTTTTTTTTAATGTTTTTTGCAACCGAATATATGGTGTAGATCTTCGTATGAGTTCTGATCACAACTACAGGCCGATGACTGTATAATGCCCAGCTTAGCAAGGTGCGATGGAAATCGCCCATGAGTTGTTTTAAGTCGAAAAACACTTGCCGGAAAGAATTTTGAAGTGGAATAGTTGAAATTTATTGGGGTGGAGATGGTAGGGTTGGATGTATTTTAAAATACGTATTTTGTTAGTTTTTTACAACGTTTTCCGACTGTCGTTCCCATTTTAACATTATTTTATTTTTTATCAAATTGGAGACGTCTGATATTGTACAAATATTACAATGAACTCCGTTTTGTACTGCCTCCTTGGTCAAACTATCAGCTTTTTCATTACCTAGTATACCTATATGACCTTTGACCCATACAAATATTATATTTAAATCTGCTATCAATTTTTTTACATTGCATAATATAGGTCATTTCATTCTTTCAAATGTTATGCTTTTTATTGACTCCGAGGTTGACTTAGAATCAGTTAGTATTACCACCTCTCGTAAATTATTTGATATTAACCAAGTAATGCCCTTCAAAATTGCTATAAGTTCTGCAGTATATATGCTACATATTGATGGTAATTTAAACATAAATATTTTGTCTGGTGATTTAGAACATGCCATATTTTTATCCCTACGTGACAAGCTGCACTCAACTAGTAACAGAAATGAATGTTAAGAGGAAAAGAAGTTTTCGTTACTTTTCTCTTTAATTGCGTGGGAAGTAAATATTCATAAATCAGCTATGTATAAGTAAAAATCTTGTTAGTACAGTGAATTGCAAATATTGTTTAAATTGAATACATTGTTTACATGTGTTTACTTTGATAGTTACCTGCATACACAAATCCTCCCCATTGTGCCCTCTCTGAGATAGGCGCCCATTTGCTCAGCAAATAATGCACCGAAGGAAACAGAACTCCATGGCAAGCTCCTTCGATAACTCTTAAGGCTATTATACTTTGGTATCCAAATTCCGCCGCGGACATGGGTATTACTAATATACATGTAGCTGAGATCGCAATAGCAGCGGTGAGAAAATATTTTGGACCATAATTTTTAGCTAGCTGTCCAGCACCTATTTGAAACCATACGTGGCCCCAAGAAAACGAAGATAGAATAACGTTTTTCTTATCTTTCCAGTCTGGATATGTCTGCAACACAAATAACGTTAGAGATATTTGACTTTGAATGATTTAAATCATGTTTAAGGTCTAATGAAATGAGTAAGTAACTTCATCTTTAAGATTCGATCATATATTCATTAACTTATTGTGTTACCGCTGATCCTACGTCCGGAACTGAAAGGATGCTTGGGCAAGTGCTAGCCGCCCACTCGCTTTAAAAATTCGACCTTTAAATAAGCCTCGGTCAGGCCAGTCTTATCGCTACGATCCAGAAAAAGCAATGATTCGTATATGGAACTATCTGATAATAAATAAACATCGAGCCCAGTACCAAAAATTAAACTACTGTGATGCAGAAGAAAAAAGACCTCTTATTCTAGTTTACAAAAAAGAGTGTAAATATACGAAATTAATAATTTAATTTTAGAGTATAAAGGAATGGACAGATTTCTGCGATTTAATCGCTGCGTCGACGACACAATTTATCTCGCAATATAAGCGACAGCGTTTTTTCATGTCCTGAACACATTGCTGCGATTAGTCGCTTAAATTAAACCGACAACTACAGCATAGTCTAAAATGGATTCTTCAGAATCGGAGGAAGATTTGATCTTGCTGGTTGCTTTATCATATTAATGGGCAAGTTTTAATAATATATTAATATTTTTTATAGAAAAAGAGAAAAAATTGGGATTCATAAGATAAATTTGGAAAGACAACAAAAAGGAGAATTTCATACGTTAATACCACAACTTTGACCTGACAAACATCGGTTTTATAAATACTTCAGAATGAAAATTGCTTGTTTTGATGAAATTTAAACTTAATAAGGGAAGATATTGCTAAGCTTCATAGCAATTTCAGCGGAAGAAATATTAGCCATTACTTTGAGGTAAATTAATCATCACTCATTGTATTTTTATTTTTATATTCTTTTATATATCAACATTATAAAGGAGTGTACACTCGTAAAGAGGTGGCTTGAAGCCGAAATGATTGTTCGCAATCTGCACTAGTGGTACTTGGATTATGTTCAAGTGGAATGGTTCCTTGCTCTGGCGAAACAAGTGGACTTTCATAGAAGTTCAAATCAGAGGTGAAACTATTGGAAGTTGATGGTTGAGAACTATGGTGTAGTTGAATTATCTGGTGCTGCTCTTCATAGTGCATTACCTCTTGCTGTGTAATTATTTGGGCAATTTGTAGTTTGGTTTTAGTTTGACGTTTTCCAGAAAGTTGTTTTATCAAGCCTGCATATAGAACAATAAATCTGTTGAGTCTTTTGCTGTTTTTTTTCTGCTTTCAAAATAAGTAATAATAGAGCCAACTAAAGTTGTAGGTTCTATATTTTGTACATTTCTCACTTTTCGTTTTTTTTTTGGTTCTGGTTCTACAATCGGAGTGGTGACATCAGCACAAGTAGCAGACTCTTTATTTTTTGTAGGTAACGGTACTTCAGATAGATCACCAAGTTCACTTTCTTCGTTATCAGAAACATCTACACCATCATCTTTCTCAGTTACAGACTCTACTTGAGTCGCAACTTCCCGCACATTTGAAGGTTTTTTTTGAAGGTTTGAGGTTTTAGCAAAAAGCAAGAAAGGTTGGAACATTTTCATACTTTCAGCCCATTGCCATGTTTTATTTTGTGCAGCTTGCCCAGTTCTTGTTTTGATTACTCTTAAGTATCGCACATAAGAATCACGTAAACTTCTTTACCTTCTCTTCAGTTCCTCACCTAAAAAATATAATGTTTTAGATTTTTAGCAACAGGTGACAGCTTTAGTACAATAGGGCACAGTTATCGTGTTGGATTTTCAACAGTTGCTACAATTATAAATGAAGTATGTGAAGGATGTGGTGACACCATAACGTTTGCATCATTTTTTAACAATTCTCTTATATTCATCTCTGTCCTTGACTAGTTGTTTGGCTTTATGTAACCTGCAGTTAAACAGTTTTTTTGTTTGATCTATTCAACGGCTTTAAGCTCCTTAAAGCTAGGTATTTTTCTTCAACTTTGCCCTCGATTATCAGTTTTTCCATCGTATCTGTTCTTCTGGCATTGTGCTGAAAGTACTTCAAATATCTCTGTTGTATTATGTTTAAATATTATATCTTTTGAGTTGTTTCGGTATTGATATATTTGTTTTATGTTCAACCCAGTATATTCTTAAAATGCGGCTATATATTCCACATCCCAAAATCCTCTATTTTGTTTCTATCTGCTTTCTTTACGGTCACGTTTCAGGTGCAAATATGGCTATGGGAAAAATTAGTTCTCTGGCCAGCCATAATTTTGTGTGCATTGTTATAATCGATTTTTTTTAATTCGAAATTTTTAATTCGTTAATACTGTATTTTTAATTCGTTATTTTAAAGTTATATTTGGCTTTCTTGGTGCAACCAATAAAGGTAATATTTCAGTTGTATTTCTTTTTAATAACAAAATTAAAATTTGGTACATTTCTTTTATTATTCAGCAATTGTATAATCGTTATATGGTGACAGATCAGCAAAAAGAATTCTTTGGGCGAGATCGTAAAAGAAAAATGACTTAAACTGAAGATCCATTTTTAATATTTTTGTCATTTCGCATCGTATTTCGTAATTTTATTCTGACAGTGATCTCCGAAGTTCTCTTGATCTTCTGCATGATCTTCGACATGATAAATTATATCACTATGTAGGAAAGTGAATATATTGATCTTCCACAAAAATCTTACACAAAATAGTTAATGGAATATACATAAAAAATATTTAAAAAAAACTTGTAATTGAAAGCGCCGAAATTCATCACGTCTCCATACGCATGATAATGAGTAAACATCTTCTAAAACTTATGTCTCACCAAATTAAATTTTTGTTCACTTTTTGTACACCGAATATTTTATTATTCTGTTTTTTTACTTAACCAAATTCCTTATATATACCTGACCTTATAAATTAGAAAGTTTAAGAGTAATGAAAAAGTCCTCAAATGTCGGGCGCGGTCTTCAAACCAAACGAAATGGGCGCAGTGCATCAAATTGATAGCGCGTTTGTTTACGCCTCTTATTGTAAATAAGAACAATATATCATATGTGTATGTATGTACATAAAAACATAATAAAATTCTTACTGGATATGTTCTGTTTTCTGCATAATCTGCAGTCATAGCAACGATTGCAACCATAAGAACAGTACGCATGCCATATACAACTATGGCACCACTGAACATAAGCCCATATTGCAAATGTCGTATGCCTAAACCACCTAAAACAAATCGCTTGATTAATAAAGTATCAATATAAATTTATATAAAAAGGTCAATTTTTTTTGTTTAACGTTTATTCTCCTCTATTGTTATGAAGTTATTTTCTTGTGGCATTTTAAAGTAATTACTATTTAAATGGGAATAAGCCACAATTATGGTTAAAGTACGTTTATTGACGTTTCATGTTCCACTTTGGAAATAATACAAACATTAGTGGTTTGTATTTTGGTGGGGCATAAGAAATTACCCGTAACATCAAGTGATCAAACTTTGAAAAATATATTACATGAAGCTATCCTGCACATCAGACGTCCATTGATGGTTCCCGTGTTACGTTATGGAAATCGTGGACTCAGATTAAGGTAGGCACAACAATATGTGCATTAGGGCTTACAAGAGTGGAGTTCTAATGTTTGTATTTTGAGAACGATTTCGAAATGGAAATTGAAACGTCAATAAACGTCTTTACCATTCCCATTTAAATAGTTATTACTTATTCTCTCTATTGAGATATTTTGTTGCATTTCCTAATCTTGTATCATTTCAAAAAATGCCAGGCGTTTATATAACTGTAATAGCTTTGATTTTATAATTATTTGTGTCGCCCAGCCTCCTGAATTGTGATTGGTCAAATGGCAACAGGAATTGCAGCCAATCATAATTCAGGACGCTGTTGCTCATTTTCACTATTATCATTAGTCAAAATGCACCTGAGTTGCAGCCAATGATAATACAGAAAAATTTGGTCGTCGTGCTAAAAAGGCAAAAGTGACGGTTAAAAACCGTTACGATTGACCTACTTTTTCTCTATAAAAGAAGTGACCATCAAAGACCGGGTCAGGATATGTCCGCTGGTCCAGCCTTCTGAGGCAAGTCTGAGATCCTCAGATAGATTAAGTTCTCTGAGACTCAAAACCAGAGCCTAACGCTTTACATCTTTAAAACCCAGAACGACACGTTCTCAACTCTAAAACCCGGAACCTCACGTTCCATCATCTTTAAGTTTGGCAAAGTTCCAGTGGGAACCTTTGTCGGTTTGCGAGCGCAAGCCAGGCGGCCATTTTTGAGTGATTTATTTGTGCTTTTTCGACTTAGTCGAAATTTGCTAATATTTCACTTAAAAGCGTCGTAATTGTAGCCGAATTAATCTGTGTCTTTTGGACTTGTTCAAAATTCTGATTATTACGGAACTTACAAGTCATGTAAGAAATTTCCCTTGCAGGTTTTCGCTAAGTTCTTACCTACAGACTTAGCCACCGGACGAGCACATATCCTTTAAAGGAAGTACGAAATAAAGATAATTACTTGTGTTTTATTTCCTAATTTTACCCTAATTTTATTCTTTCGGACTCTGCAGTTCAGAGCCGACGATAACTTACAATTTCAATTTGCTTCTCTTTCAGGTACACTGCAAGAAATTGGTAAAGTATTTTAATATTTTATATGGGAATTTTACATGTATCAGGTACACTGTTAAAACTTGGCCAAGTTATTTATCTTTGATATTGGTAAATTCTATGCTTTACAGGTACACTGCTAAAACTCTCTGGAGAGTTTGAACTTTGATATTGATATTTTGTATGCATATAGGTACACTGTTAAAACTTATAAAGTAGTTAGCACTTTGACTTTGTCGACTTGTGGATTTATTTTATTTTCTTTTTACAGGATTATAACTTGTATTATTTTAACTGTTTTTTATATACCGTATCGACTTATTTAAAATTTACAAAATAAATTTTCGAATTTATGTTATAACTTTTTTCACAGTGCACTTACACCTACTTTTTATTGTTGATTTTGCCGAATGGCACTATCCTGAAGGGATCCCAGCTGGTTTCAGGTTTCTAGCACAATTTTTTATAACCCTTAAATTGTGACAGCTGTGTTTTCTCTATAGTTATTAATTTCAATTTTGCATATAAAATTTACTTGTAATTGTTTAATCTAACGACATTACCTTTCAGATTCTTAGACTTAAACTAATTGTGTGATTATCCTCCAGATCTACGACCTGGAGATAATTACTTACCTTTTCCTTGCAGATTCTTAATCTTAGAGCTTAATTGTTATTAATTGCTATTTTTATCTCTTATTTACCTTATTTTATAACAATAAACTATTACTTTTGTTGTTAATATTTTATTCCCTAGTTATAGTAGCATAGCCTGTGTTCTATGGCCACTGATCGAACGTACGCATTATGATCATCAAGAACTATGGAAAGAGCGGTTAATCCTGTTAATCCAGAGTCTCTCTCTCTCTCGAGGGAGCTAACGCACCAACAGTACCGACATTTGGAACACATATATCAGCACACATTGAATATTACGGTGGATTTTCCTATACTATGAATTTCGACCTAATTATGTCCAATAACAAATTTTCAGTATTTTAATTTCTCGAATCTGTATTATACATCCTGTTTCATATTTTTTTACTTTTAGATCCGCTCTATTGAATGTTCCCGCTTTGTGCAGAACAATAACTTATAGACCACTATTAGTAAGAAGACCCTGTACATGCTTGAGTCTCTCTTGTCGACTAAGTCCCCTTTAAGCTCGCACTCTTCTTGATTCAGGATAAAACCAAAACATAGCTTCATCTGTGCATATCACAGAACTCCACTCTTGTAAGCCCTAAGTGAGAGCGCCATCAAAGTGACGTGGCACGTAGCAAGTGGCAAGTAGCACGCGTCTAGCAATGTTTCTTAAAATGAAAATGAAATGATTCAGCGTACACCAAAATGACAGTGACGTCATTCATTCTAATCATTTGTTTTCATTGGTTACATTTTAAGAAACATGCTAGACGCGTGCTGCTTGCTACGTGCTACTTGCCACGCCACTTTGGCGGGCGCTCGCCCTAATGCACATATTGTTGTGACCACCTTAATCTGAGTCCACGATTTCCATGACGTAACACGGGGACCCTCAATGCACGTCTGATGTGCAGGTCAGCTTTATGTAATCTATTCCTCAAAGTTTGATCACTCGATGTTATGGGTGATTTCTAATGCCCCACCAAGTTCTTGTGCAGTTCTCATTGAGCTTAATAATCTTGTTTTAGTAATTTTAATCGCTTTTTATGTACAATTTAAAGCAATTAATCGTACAAATTAAGGTACTGTCACTATTATCTTAATAAAACAGTGCAATCGACAAATTAATTTTCATGGCGTATCTTTAATTTTTTTAAATATTAATATATATTTTAAATTATATATTATAAATATATTTTTAAGACAACAAGTTTTTATATCGAATGGTATATATTAACTAAAAAGTTTTTATTTTAAGTTGTTTACGTGTTTAAGTTTTTATTTGAAAAAGTGGTGTATGTTTCATTAGATATTTTTGATGTGTGTATCATGGACCAGCAAAATAAGAAAACTAGAAGTGCTTCTAGCAATATGACATTAAAGAACTTTATTAAATATCATCAAGAGACGTAAACTAGAATATCTCACATATAATCAGAAGACCTTCTTCGGCCAATTCTAAACGGTAAAATTACGGAAAAAAATGGATAGGGCAAAAAAATATGTCTTGGTTGAGAAATTTGCGACAGTGGGTAGATTTAACAGCAGACCAATTGCTACACATAGCCCAAGACCGAAATCGAAATTAAGAATATTATGAATAGACTTCGGCAAATATGCATATTGCATATTTTGCATATTGTGCATATTTTATGCAAATATTTCATATTTTGGCATATTTGTATAAAAGTTTGCATAAAGTGCATAAAAGTTCAGATTTTTTATACTGTATTTAAAAATTTTTAAACATATCAATTTATTTCAATTCTTGTATAAAATTTTGTAGTCATTTTAATCAAGAAATGATCTAAGTACGTAAATCTCTACAGGTACAAAACATTTACAATTTCAAAGAAGATCAATTTAAGTAGCCCTCAACATTCTTAGAAAATCTCGGTCACTGAGGCATTCAGTTATTGGATAATCGCTAAGGGTTCGCTCATTTGCATTTTATGATCTAATCCCCGAATCTATCTTCAATTTATTGTATCTTAACAGCAGGTAAACGGCTAATAGTTTTGTTCCTAATTTAGGGATTTTCCAAATATCTCCCAGTTTATTGAATTAGGTACCTAAACATTTCTAATTTGATGCTCAGATTTGTAAATCATTTTTGTTTTGATATTCAAAGCGTAAACACTCGTTGTGCGTAACAAAAAGGAAGATTGTTATTTTATAATGCCTAAAACAACCAGTGCTTCAACTTGGATTAAACCTTATAAAGAGCTGTCTATGGATATGGGAAAAATCTACTGTTCAGTCTGTGGCAAAATTGTAAGTATCTAATATTTTCTATTAATTTCTAATATTTCATACATACAGGGTGTTTCCAAATGACACTTACAACGTTTGACTGTAGATACTTCTCGAAAAATTGAACAAAACGATATAGTTAATAAGGGTCAAACTTATTTACTTTTCGAGATACAGGGTGTTAAAATTAAAAAAAATTTAATTCTTTTTAGTTAATAACAACAATAACTTTAAACCAATAAATATATTTACTTGAAATTTAGTACTCGTAGGTTGTTTTTAAATGAAAAATAGCTTCCTTTAGTGAGAAAAAATTGTCCATGGTACAATACAATGGTGTGTATTTAGAAAAATTTTTCACCTTTACTTTTTTTATGAAGTCAGCTATTCTAAAAACACAATTATTTTTATTGTAATTGAATTAACAAAAAAAAAACTTTTGTTGAATTTTAAAATAAGTTATATGATGTACTAATGGTTAGTAACAAAAACTAATTTGTGGATTAATACTGCATTTAAAACACTTAGCAAGTGTTTTTTTTTCCAAACCCAGTTATTTGATTAACCAAAAACATCTTGTATATTTTTATATTTTAATAGGTTGGGTTAAAATAAAGGTTTTTATTTTTATTTATAGATAGCATGTGAGAAGAAATTTCATATAGACCAACATGTGAGAACTGCTTCACACATTGCAAAAAAAGG